TTAACTTGGCGAGAAATGACCGACGAGCTAAAAAGGAAATACCTCACTCCAGTTAAAATTAATAAGCCGCCTATAACGGAATCAAAATCTATTCTTGAGGAAACCGTTAACCAAGCCGTAGATTTGACAGAATCTAACTCTGACAAGAAAATCCAGGATATTAAAATTGAAAAACCATGCACTTCTATTTCTTCTGAAACTTCCCCTGCAATTGTTGAATTGACTGAAGTTTCATGCAATAACGACACACCGATTATTCCCCAAACTACCCATTTGATCACGGAATTCACTGATGTTGTCTCTGAAGTTGTTCCTGAAATTGAAACTCTAACTCCTGAACTCACTCTAGTGATTAAAAACGTTGATGTTCCCCACGAAGTCCTCCCGGACAAACATGAATCTATACATGACACCCAACATGTTCACTCAGATATCTGTATGGAAGTTGAATCCCAAACCGAGCATAGTGAAATAACTCCCATATTAGATATCAAACCACCATGCATTGTCCCGACAGTCACTCACACATACACTGATCCATTTTGAGAATATATAGTGATTAGGGATACAAGTTTGAGCACGAGTGTTTTCATTGATATTCGACCTAAGCTTGACATTTTAGATGAACCACATACCTTGCAGAGTATTTCATTTCTCTCTTATGTTAAGCGCACAAAAACACTCCTCTTTCATGCATACATACCTTGCAGAGTATTTCATTTCTCTCTTATGTTAAGCGCACAAAAACACTCCTCTTTCATGCATTTGTTTGCATGTTCTCTTATGTTAAGCGCACAAAAACACTCCTCTTTCATGCATTTGTTTGCATGTTCCTCACTATCACTGTTATAACAGGAAATTTGTTATGCATATTAACAAAGGAACGCCTAATTATTTCCATTTGATAGAGGACGTCATGCATGTTTGACACTTTGTTGAGTTTACATCTGCCATTGATCGCATTGTTCGAGTCTGCATGTCATACATAGTCATTTGAGTTAATTTTTATCATTTTGTTTTGATTTGCATTGATCATATATTGTGGAATCAGTGATCTAATTTGAATAAATACATCGTTAACTGAAATGTATGATATGGAGTTAGGACATAATTTAAAACTGTTAATGTTTGAGATGGTTTGGACTTGTCTAATACAGTTTCTTTATAGCTGTTTGAGATTTGACATAATATTTATGAACTTTTTCAACTCTTGAAATAATTAATGGCAACATTTATATTATCGATTTGGTCGTAGTTCTATTCTCAATATTTATTGATTAAGCAGTTCACAATGTTTATTGATAGTCCACTGATATAAGCCTGACCCTAGCTTATTGTTTCTGAGAGTTCTTTCATTTTACCTCAATTCTATATATTCACCCATGCAACAGTGAATTTTGATAATATTTTAGATGGTGAATTTACGATGCAATCTAGCTAATGATTTGAGATGCATGAAAATAACTAACGACAGATTAAGTTGCAGGTAGAGTATATTGAAGATAACAAATTTCTACAACTAACTCGTCAGAGTCGAGTTTTCTCCTACCCGGGGAGAATGATGAGGACAATAATGATAATTTTCATATTTGTTATTTGACTTTCTTTTATTTTAGTTTCGAATAAGGAAGATTTGACAAGTTTGATCAGATTTTAATTTAGTTTTAATTATGAGAAATTTGAGGGATTTTTCTATTTTGGTAGGATTTTAATTTTTGATTTTTGATTTTTGAATTTTGAATTTTGAATTTTGAATTTTGAATTTTGAATTTTGAATTTTGAATTTTGAATTTTGAATTTTGAATTTGGGGTCAAGTTTAGTAGTTAATCAGTTTTTAGTATCTGAGTGATTTGATGAATCTGATTGATTTTGAGAGATTTTATAATTGCTCTATAAAAGCACTGTTGTAATCAGAATGAAATAATAATGAAGATTTGAATAAAATATTTTGTTAGCTAATTTTTGGTGTGAAGCCGAATGTAGGTGTGGAGCCGAATATTGGTGTGAAGTCTCGGGTATGAAACCCTAGGCTAACTCTTCTTCTCCTCTTCACAGCCGCCAATCTCCTCTTTCACAGCCGCCAACCTCCCACAAAAATACCACGCCCCAAAAATGCCACGCCCCCTAATCCCCTCCCCCTCAGGCCATCCGACCTCTCCTCTCTAAACAGCTGTGTTCTTCTCCTCCCCAAGCAGGCCGCCCCGAACCTTCCATCTGCCCCCGCATTGCTGGACCAGCCGCCTCTTTCTGCGTTTCAGCACTCATCTCAACACAACCAGCGTTCCTACCTTGCTTCTGCCACCTACAAACAGCAGTCCGCCAAACCGCATTGCATCGCTTCAACGAAGTCGTCGCCCCTTGCTCCACAAGCCGCCGACTTTCCCTTCCCTATCCTCCTTCCTATCGAGCAACCCCACTAGCACTTCCACAAGCCGCGCCTCCTTCCCCTGCTCCTCTCCATCCTCAGGCAGCCCCGCCTCTCTGCTACCTCTACATCAACCGCAAAACTCCCAGCCTACCGCCTGCGTCATTCCCTCTTCCGAACAGCAACAGACCCTAATCCCCTCCTCCTCCACAGCCGCCTACCCACGGGTCATCGCATCGCCCTAGCCCCGTCGACCTCGTCGTTATTCTGCTCACCACCATCGTCGTCGCCAGTTCGATGTCGTTGTCGTCGCCAGTTCATTTGTCAACCGTCACCACTTGATAGCCCAGTAAATTATTTTTCTGTTAATCTTGTTTTATTAGTTAGTTGTATGAGTATTCCATCTCTAAACTCTTATCATATATTCACTGCTTAGATTATATTTGTGAGTTGAGAGTAATTGAGCATGTGACTATTTAAATTTGAAATTGATAGTAGAACTTGAGCATGATAATGAATATTGCAGCTAAATTGATCAAGATTGGAATTAATCTTAACTATTGATGCAAATTTCGCTAAATCCATCTGTCACATTAGTTATTTTGAATTTAATTTCCTGCCAAAAATTATGAAATTTGGTGAAACGATATGTTATTTGAATTAAATTGCTGATTCTGATAGGCCCCCTGTCCCGTTTCGCATCAGAAACTCCTCGTACTTGGACCGATCGAACTCGATGACAAGAATCTCGACGTCAGTCCTCACATCAATCTTATCTGATTGCGCCACATCATTTCATTAGAGAATGACTGCTCCCACTGTGGTCGCCATCTTCTGTAATGTCTAGAAAAAAATGATTGATTCCTTTAACTGTATTAGCTTTGAAAAAAGACTATCACATGGTAAGAGTCTCGTTACAATCACTCTTAATCGATTACAGAAGAGGAGAAGATTTGTTCGACTTCTCCTTTTGTTTAACGTGGGCTCTGGGTGGCAAAAGGATGCCTCACTCGATGCTTGAGTCAAGCTTGCTTCCCATTGACGATCAGAACAAGATTGCTTGGATTCAAGGAGGAATTAGCCTCTTAATATGTGCTTAAGCCGTCACTGGTGGCTGTTTAGATCAGAAGAATCGAAGTTCAGATCTCAGAATAACACCTCCGAGCTTAAGTGTGAGTTCGTCCTTCTTCGCGTGTGCGTTGTCTCTAGGTCCTCTTCATAGCTACTCATGGCTATTTATAGGCCTTTAGCGTGTAACCGATGCGCTGAAATCGTAGGGTTAGGATGTAACTGACTTCTTGGATTTAGCCCACGTTGGCTGACCGGGTCTTCAAGACCGTTACAGTCGAAATTCATTTGGTTAGATGAGCCGCGTGGCGAGGTTCGTCAAATGAGACAAGCCTAGACGCGCAGCGAGGTTCGTTTGACAAAGCGGACTTCTTCCTTTGATGACTGATTCCAGCTGCGTGGCAAGCCTTGCGGGCTTCTCATGACGAACTTTGTCTTCATTGACGAGTTTCATGTTTAATAGTGAGCTTCGTCTTCACTGACGAGCTTCGTCTTCAATGACGAGCTTTGTTGACTGAGACGAGGTTCATCATTGTGACGAGCCTCTTCATATTTGCAGTGAGGTTAGACCCTCGTTCGCTTCTTGGCATTTTTTAGTGCCTACAACTAACATGTGTTGCAGTTCATTTAATAACTTTTTTAAACTGTATTTCATCACTAAACCCTTAATATGTTTTGTTTATATCCCATTATATATTTTCTACTTTCTTGTGCTTTGCTCACATTAAATATGATTTTCAAATGTTTTCAGGGAATGTACTAGTTGAGTTGAGGGTTACGCTAAATGCTGTTGGCAATCAGCTTGGAGATTGGAATCAAGATCAAGTCAATCCTTGCACCTGGAATTCTGTTTCTTGTGATAATAACCAAAATGTAGTTACATTGTGAGTATCTCAAGGGTCTAATATTTAATTTTAATTTGTCTTTCCTTCTATTTAGATATACTATTGTGTATGATGCAAGTTGCTTAGAGATCTAATACCTGATTAATCTATTATTACTCTCTCTTCTTGTAGTTAACAGCATAAAAAATGCATATATTTGTTCTTATACTTTTTTTTTCTGTAGAACACTTGCTTACATGGGATTTACTGGAAAATTGTCATCAAGTCTTGGAGAGTTAAAGCATCTAAAAGTTCTGTAAGTGCAATCCTTATCCTAAGTTGGGTTTTTTCGGGACCATGTCTTTGAATGAGCATTAACTAGCGTATGAAGCCAAAATAGTCACAGAGTTTACATCCCGTTAGCATATCTGCAAGGAATCATATACAAAAATATAATGTTTGCAGAACATATGATTGATAATCCATGTTACTATGCCTGACTTAGCATTGACAAAATACCCACTATCCGTCAGAACTCGGAAGTACAAAACTCATTATTTAGCTAATTTAAACTGCTTGTAATTAGGTTGCTAAATGCTAACTATATGTCTACGACTAAATTCACATCAAAATCCAAAAAAAAATATTTAAAGATAAGTAATATCTATAATTTACTAAAGATAATTTTTTGCATCCTTCAACGAAGTCGTCGCCCCTTGCTCCACAAGCCGCCGACTTTCCCTTCCCTATCCTCCTTCCTATCGAGCAACCCCACTAGCACTTCCACAAGCCGCGCCTCCTTCCCCTGCTCCTCTCCATCCTCAGGCAGCCCCGCCTCTCTGCTACCTCTACATCAACCGCAAAACTCCCAGCCTACCGCCTGCGTCATTCCCTCTTCCGAACAGCAACAGACCCTAATCCCCTCCTCCTCCACAGCCGCCTACCCACGGGTCATCGCATCGCCCTAGCCCCGTCGACCTCGTCGTTATTCTGCTCACCACCATCGTCGTCGCCAGTTCGATGTCGTTGTCGTCGCCAGTTCATTTGTCAACCGTCACCACTTGATAGCCCAGTAAATTATTTTTCTGTTAATCTTGTTTTATTAGTTAGTTGTATGAGTATTCCATCTCTAAACTCTTATCATATATTCACTGCTTAGATTATATTTGTGAGTTGAGAGTAATTGAGCATGTGACTATTTAAATTTGAAATTGATAGTAGAACTTGAGCATGATAATGAATATTGCAGCTAAATTGATCAAGATTGGAATTAATCTTAACTATTGATGCAAATTTCGCTAAATCCATCTGTCACATTAGTTATTTTGAATTTAATTTCCTGCCAAAAATTATGAAATTTGGTGAAACGATATGTTATTTGAATTAAATTGCTGATTCTGATAGGCCCCCTGTCCCGTTTCGCATCAGAAACTCCTCGTACTTGGACCGATCGAACTCGATGACAAGAATCTCGACGTCAGTCCTCACATCAATCTTATCTGATTGCGCCACATCATTTCATTAGAGAATGACTGCTCCCACTGTGGTCGCCATCTTCTGTAATGTCTAGAAAAAAATGATTGATTCCTTTAACTGTATTAGCTTTGAAAAAAGACTATCACATGGTAAGAGTCTCGTTACAATCACTCTTAATCGATTACAGAAGAGGAGAAGATTTGTTCGACTTCTCCTTTTGTTTAACGTGGGCTCTGGGTGGCAAAAGGATGCCTCACTCGATGCTTGAGTCAAGCTTGCTTCCCATTGACGATCAGAACAAGATTGCTTGGATTCAAGGAGGAATTAGCCTCTTAATATGTGCTTAAGCCGTCACTGGTGGCTGTTTAGATCAGAAGAATCGAAGTTCAGATCTCAGAATAACACCTCCGAGCTTAAGTGTGAGTTCGTCCTTCTTCGCGTGTGCGTTGTCTCTAGGTCCTCTTCATAGCTACTCATGGCTATTTATAGGCCTTTAGCGTGTAACCGATGCGCTGAAATCGTAGGGTTAGGATGTAACTGACTTCTTGGATTTAGCCCACGTTGGCTGACCGGGTCTTCAAGACCGTTACAGTCGAAATTCATTTGGTTAGATGAGCCGCGTGGCGAGGTTCGTCAAATGAGACAAGCCTAGACGCGCAGCGAGGTTCGTTTGACAAAGCGGACTTCTTCCTTTGATGACTGATTCCAGCTGCGTGGCAAGCCTTGCGGGCTTCTCATGACGAACTTTGTCTTCATTGACGAGTTTCATGTTTAATAGTGAGCTTCGTCTTCACTGACGAGCTTCGTCTTCAATGACGAGCTTTGTTGACTGAGACGAGGTTCATCATTGTGACGAGCCTCTTCATATTTGCAGTGAGGTTAGACCCTCGTTCGCTTCTTGGCATTTTTTAGTGCCTACAACTAACATGTGTTGCAGTTCATTTAATAACTTTTTTAAACTGTATTTCATCACTAAACCCTTAATATGTTTTGTTTATATCCCATTATATATTTTCTACTTTCTTGTGCTTTGCTCACATTAAATATGATTTTCAAATGTTTTCAGGGAATGTACTAGTTGAGTTGAGGGTTACGCTAAATGCTGTTGGCAATCAGCTTGGAGATTGGAATCAAGATCAAGTCAATCCTTGCACCTGGAATTCTGTTTCTTGTGATAATAACCAAAATGTAGTTACATTGTGAGTATCTCAAGGGTCTAATATTTAATTTTAATTTGTCTTTCCTTCTATTTAGATATACTATTGTGTATGATGCAAGTTGCTTAGAGATCTAATACCTGATTAATCTATTATTACTCTCTCTTCTTGTAGTTAACAGCATAAAAAATGCATATATTTGTTCTTATACTTTTTTTTTCTGTAGAACACTTGCTTACATGGGATTTACTGGAAAATTGTCATCAAGTCTTGGAGAGTTAAAGCATCTAAAAGTTCTGTAAGTGCAATCCTTATCCTAAGTTGGGTTTTTTCGGGACCATGTCTTTGAATGAGCATTAACTAGCGTATGAAGCCAAAATAGTCACAGAGTTTACATCCCGTTAGCATATCTGCAAGGAATCATATACAAAAATATAATGTTTGCAGAACATATGATTGATAATCCATGTTACTATGCCTGACTTAGCATTGACAAAATACCCACTATCCGTCAGAACTCGGAAGTACAAAACTCATTATTTAGCTAATTTAAACTGCTTGTAATTAGGTTGCTAAATGCTAACTATATGTCTACGACTAAATTCACATCAAAATCCAAAAAAAAATATTTAAAGATAAGTAATATCTATAATTTACTAAAGATAATTTTTAAATATTTCTCCTTGAAAAACACTTAAAAACATCAAAATGTGGTTACAACGGTGCGAAAATTTGTGGTAAAATAAAGCACATACTTGTTTGTGTTTCTTGTAAACAGAGTTTTTGACATTGAGATGTCAAAATGATTTTCTTTGAAAGCTTCAGCTCTGCTTTAGAGCTCTAAAGAATACGCGCATTTAATTATTCTCTTTACTCTTAGTTGTGAAATCATAAAGCTTGAAAATTTTGAAATGTGAAGTGATGGTTTGCCCACGTAACAAGAGTACCTAGTATTAAAAGCAATGAGTTTACCTGCTTGTAATTAGTAAGATTGAAGTTAATTATAAGTGAATTTACCACTTTTTTGCGCCTGATTAAGTTAATTATGCAGGTCATTACAGGGTAACTATATCTCTGGTAGGATACCTGAGGAATATGGAAACCTTTCAAGTTTGACGAACTTGGATTTTGAGAATAACCGCCTAACTGGTCCTATACCTTCTTCATTTGGAAAGCTTACTAATCTTCAGAAATTGTAAGTGGGACTGTAACCACCTTTCTTAGCTGTTGGAATAAATCTTATGTTTATCACATCCTTACGCTGCATACGTCTAACAAAATTTTCAGGAGTTTAAGTCATAATAATCTCAATGGAGACATTCCAGATTCTTTTTCTCAACTCTCAAACTTAAATGACATGTAAGTATTATAGTTAGATGCTAAATCGGCTTGTGTTCAACATAGCAAGTATTGAAGATATCATTTTTAAAGCTTTATCTTACATTTTTGATAATACACCTGCTTTACCTGTTTTACCTGTATTTGCAGTAATCTAGCGTTCAACAATCTCACTGGTCAAGTACCTGATCAACTATTTGAAGTTGTTAAATACAAGTATGCTAACTATTACTTTCTTTTACCAAGTATTGATAGGAACTATACCGTATTCTGATGTGATACAAGTATATAACAGCTTTACAGGTAACAGATTGAACTGCGGACCAAACTTTTCTCATCCTTGTAATTCTGGTGTTCACAATGAGCGTAAGTTTTGATTTCTATATATTTTTTGGGAAAAGTTCCAAAGTTTACTACGGGATTTCTATGTTGTACATTTTTATTTTGGCAAAGTTTTCATTGTAAACATTTCATTTTGATTTCTCTCGGAAAATGGATTTACATTTCCATTGTCTTTACAGGAGGATCCCACAGTTCGACGATTGGAATTGTGTTGGGGAGTGTTATTGGAATTATTGGTCTTCTTGTCATAGCATCTATTTTTCTTTTCTTCAAGGGCAGGAGAAAAGGTTTTCGGCCTGAAGTTTTTGTTGATGTTGCGGGTAACCAGATACATTTATTCTTTACCTTCCCTAGTTTTGTATTATCTATCAAATTGACAAAAAAAAACTGAGGAAGATGAAAAAAAAAATGTAATATTGGCTGTATCTGGTTGGATATAGAGTGTGTTGATGTGGAGTTTTGAATTGCCCAAAATCAATATGATTGGAGTTTTTACTCGAAGAACATAAAGTTCATGCTCAAAAAATGACTGTCAGAACTACCAAAATATGAAAACAATATGTTTCTGAGGATCCATAGTGGATCGGCTCTCGAAATCCAATTAATAAGAAAAAGTTAATAGCCTACCTGAGGGGTTCATGACATTTATCTCTTAGTCTTATCTTTTCGAGTTATATTTGATCTAATATAAAAGATCATATCATATTCGGTTAGCTTCTCAATGTTAAGAAAGACTTCTATCATATTGGATTAACTCACAACTTTGGTTGCTTGTAATATTTACTTGGATCTCACTTGTTACAATCTTCTACTTCTTTGACACCATTAACTCGCTATTTAACAATGAGAACGCTCAAAGTTGAAACTAATATCATCTGAATTTTTCGCTATTTGTGCAAGCTAAATTTTTAATTCATTTATGATATCTATTTTTAAATTATTGTTGCATGAGCTATTCTTTCATACAGATTCAACATGACCAATCTGAGTTTCATAAAAGGTCTGCTGTTTTTTTATCTCGCATGATCTTTAATAATTCTGAGCTTTTTAGAGCCACTGATCAACAATTAGATATTTTTATCCAAAATTGCCTAAACTCCTGATGCTGGCACCAAAAAGACTAACAAAAACTGTGAATAGATCCTTGATTTGTATTGGGGATAGCATAAGTATTTGCAACTCATTATACTTGTTTCAATTTTTATCAAGATCTTTTATAATTAATGAATTCTTCTTAATATTGTCATTGTTATTAATATTACGTTCTGTATGCTCAGGTTTGTATGCGTCAAGTGTCTCTTTGTATTAACATTGCAACCTCCAAAGAATCTTGAAATGTTTGAAATTCATCCTTTAATATTCTGCTATATGCTATCATTAACAAGCTCAGTTGAATTGTTTTCACTTTTGAAACTCAGGTGAAGATGACCGTCGAATTGCATTTGGACAATTGAAAAGATTTGCCTGGCGAGAATTGCAACTTGCAACAGATGATTTCAATGACAAAAATGTCCTTGGTCAGGGAGGATTTGGAAAAGTTTATAAAGGAGTGCTTGGAGATGGTACTAAAATTGCTGTAAAACGATTGATTGATTATGAAAGTCCTGGAGGCGAATCTGCATTTTTACGTGAGGTTGAGATGATAAGTGTAGCTGTTCACAGAAACCTTTTGCGATTAATTGGGTTTTGCACTACACCTACAGAACGGCTTTTAGTTTATCCGTTTATGCAGAATTTAAGTGTTGCTTACCGTTTACGAGGTATCTTATTCTTTGAATTCTAATACGTTGTTATTTTATTTTGGGTAAATTCGACAAAAGCTCCCTAAAGTTATAAATTAGAACCCCCCCTGAAATTTTTTATTAAAATAGCATGGCAGACATCAACTAATTTAAACTGTCACATCCTTTGAGTATGACATGTTTTGGACAATTTTTCCCTTATTTACCATTTAATTTTACTGAAGTTATTTTGGTTAGTGTGGAGCAACAAAGATAGCTTACAGCTTCTGCATATCCTTTACGTTAATGCCATTTATGATAATATCCTATAGTTAATAGTAGTTTTGTATACTTTTGAAAGTTTAAGGTAGTTTTCTCTAATTTATCAGGGGGCAGGGGATATCATGCAAATACACTAAAGCTCAAAGGGTTTTATAAAATTTGAGCATAACTTTTTCCTCCCTCCCTAAATGTGTCCTGCAGAACTCAAGCCTGGGGAGGCAGTGTTAGACTGGTCTTCAAGAAAACAGATTGCTTTAGGCACAGCTCGTGGTCTCGAATACCTTCACGAACATTGCAATCCCAAGATCATTCACCGAGATGTCAAAGCTGCTAATGTTTTGCTTGATGAGGACTTTGAAGCAGTTGTTGGGGATTTTGGCTTGGCAAAGGTTGTTGATGTAAGGAGGACTTCTGTGACAACACAAATCCGTGGAACTATGGGCCATATTGCACCTGAATATTTATCTACTGGAAAATCATCTGAGAGGACTGATGTTTTTGGATATGGTGTCACGCTTCTTGAACTTGTCACAGGACAACGTGCAATAGATTTCTCGCGCCTGCAGGATGAAGACGATGTTTTATTGCTCGATCATGTAAGATTATATGAACCCTTAATTTTAATTATTTCATTTACATAAATGATCGTGCTACATGATTTTTTTTATTTTGATGCTTTTAGTTTATCACATATCTTGCTCCAGCATCTAATGTGATGGATATAGTCACTTTTTCTCATAAAGTTTGGAAAAAAAAAATCTTATTTGTGCTATGCGTGGTTTTTTCTAGGGTTGCCTCGACATAGTAGTTCTTCTATTATTCAATTAGAATTACGTGAATTGATATATAGATGTACTCTATATTGAGTGGTCATATGCCTTGAAGTCAGCTGTTGAACTCCTTGGCTGTTTTTTTTGTCTGTAAACAGTATTCAATAGAGTGATCAGCATATTTTCATGCACTGGTAGGAGCATCATGACTCTTATGAAACACATGATGTTCTTTTTATGTGAACAAGTTTTAGGTGTTAAGGGAATTACTGAAGGTAATCTTTAGTAAAATGGAATCAAACTAAAAATTATCCGCCTATAGAAGTTCTTTGGACAAAGTGGGAAAGACTTGGCACAGGAGAATATATATTGGGCTCTTTTTTTTCTGCAGACTAGATAGACAGGATGCATAAGGGAGAGTCTCGAGCAGTCGAATAACATATTCTCAAATAATCCTACTACTGACAGTTTCAAATTTACATCTTTAGAGTAAATCACCTCATTTGGTTGCTCAAGTACACTCATAATTGCCCGTATGATTTTCTTAGCATGCAGACAACTTACATTAGGAAAATTGTCTTCATATAGAGCCAATATTACACCAGACCTTGGCTCATTAACTGGTGAGCGTTAAATCTAAAATAGAAAATTTATGAATTCCATATTTGTTTGTGAGAACGTCAGAAAGTAAGGTAAAGTCATTGATAAAATATGAAACAAGCAAAATGTTTTAGGCAGGTACCTAAAAAACTTGGAAGGCTCCATTAGAGACTTTCTTAGCATTGTGTTGAGCTTGAGCTATATCAGAGGATGTGTGAAGCTTGCTGTACATCGGATGTTGTCCAAGAAATATAGGCAAATAAGAAAATATAGCGGTGGGAAGAAATCTATTGACGAGGCTTGTGGTGGTGATGATTACGGTCAGCATATTCGCAGTATGTGTTAATAACCTTAAATATTAGTATTGGAATATAGTATCCAAGAGTTCAAATAGGTAAAGTTGGACCTACATTGCTTTTTTTTAAAAAAACATTTTTTGATATAATTATATGTATTACTATAGTAATTATTGATACTCGGAAATATGTGGGTGATCTGAAATAAAATTAAGTTAATTTTGTCACGAATCTGAATTTCTGTTGCGAGCTAGTTTGTGTACTTAAATAAATGACCTCACGTTCAACATTATAGCTATGTACTTCCTGAGCAACTATCATCCTACTTACGTGTAAAAGCTCTTTCTTGTATTGAAGGTGAAGAAGCTAGAGCGAAATAAGAAGCTAGATTCAGTTGTGGACCGTAACCTAAACGAGAACTACAACGGCCATGAAGTCGAGATCATGATTCAAGTGGCTCTCCTCTGCACTCAACCGACACCAGAGGACCGGCCAACAATGTCAGAGGTGGTCAGAATGCTCGAAGGCGAGGGCCTGGCAGAGCGATGGGAGGAGTGGCAGCATGTTGAGGTCAATCGACGACAGGATTATGAGAGGCTTCAGAGGAGATTTGATTGGGGTGATGATTCAGTTCATAATTTAGATGCTATAGAGTTGTCTGGTGGAAGATGAGGAGGAGATTGAAGAAGCCTCCTTTGTCTTCCTTTTTGTTGTTAGTTTGGTGTGGTGGTGTTAAAGAAATTGTACAGGTGACTTCGAGCTTTCTGCCTCCACTTGTGATTCATTGTTGGTGTAAGATAGATACTTGTGATCCAGGAGGGTCTCTGCCCCCGAAGCCTTCAATAGAAATTGACTACTTGATATAACTCTAAATAAAATTAAAATATCAAAATTATGGATCCACAAAAAGTAAAAATAAAAATAAAATAAAAAATAAAAATAAAAAGTGAAATAAAATTAAAATTGTGGCCTCA